CCTTACAGATTTGGCCAAAATCAATAAGGGTTGATCATGAACTTTCCAAATGTTCCTGTCAGTGTGGCCAGCACCAACAAGAACATGATCCTCCTCAGAGATATTCTAATGAGTATGTAGTCAATGACAACCAGTTATAAAATAAATACTGCAAAAATTATTATCAATAAAGATTGCCTTGATGAAACAGAAACATTTCTATGTATTGATTTCATGCATGAAAACTATAAACTATATGAAAAAAGAGGTTTTATAGATTTCATCCAAAATAAATATAGGCCTAATGCAGAGAAATTTGGTTTAAATTTGTTAAATTCATGTTATTTTTACCTTTATAATTAAAATAGTTGAAATTTCCACACAAAGTGTCCAAATCGAATTAAATAATAAATTAATTAATTTGACATTATCTAAAACTTAGCATCTTCCACACAGTCATCATAGTGCTTACAAAGCAAGTGCTATTCAATGTTAATCAGGTTGTTAAAAGGTTGTAAGAAATACTTCTGTATAGAATGCAAAAAATATTAAAATTAACAATGAAAATTTGCAGATGCTATCTGAAGAACTGAATGCCATATCATAAACAATATGAAATATATACAATCAGGGGCACAAGTACTGAGCTACCACCCCAAACAGAACATTCTCAATACAGAGCCAGTAAACGATGAACGCCTTGTAGAAGTGCGTATCACTTCTGATACCAATGCGTTGTTTTTAACTCTTACATTGCGACTACAAGGAGTAAACTCATCACCACAAAACTTAGAGCGACCATGTAGCTCTGTCTTCCTCAAAGCATCGGCAACACTTCTTGAAGTGTGCCTAGAGCTGATAGGGTGCCAAGGAGAACGCATAAGAGATCTAGGCATAGGTGTTTTACGAGCACGCCTACCCCTCATCCTCCACAGAGGATCAGCCACAATAATTTCCCCCCTATCGTTTCTCCCCTCACCACCACCATACAAAGCTTTAGTAGCAACAGGAATACGACTAGGTTTAGGTATTCTTTGGATTACAACCGCTGGGCAGTGTGCCCTCTCAGTAGAACGGAGACACCCGTTAACTGCTATAGGGATTCTAGACTTAAAAGTGGTGCTTCCAAAGACATTCTTAAGTGTATTCATGGCAAAGGTAAACAGAGTTGAAGCCATAGTGGCTAACACTGTATTTGGTACCTTAGTTTTGGTTCTAAAGATGCCACCACATCCACATGGGCAATAATATGCGTGGTAGTGGACTCCACTACGTGTGGATACAGTTGTACTACACATCTCTGAAAGGAGCAAAATTATTTTTGTTGTAGGCCTACATATCTGGGTGTGTGTAGATTTTAAAGTCATAGTCAGTGTACAGAAGCATGTATCTGAGGTGTAGCATGGGGATAATTGTAGGAATTTTTATTAAGTTCTCAGCAAAAAAACAAACAAACAAACAAACAAACAAAAAAACAAACAACAAAAAAACAACAACAACATTTTTTAGAAACGTGGCCGAACTACAACTTTCGTTGAAAAGAAAATGTTGTTTCACATAGATAAATAAATAAATAAATAAATGAATAAATAAATAAAAATGGGAAAATGAATAAAAGTACACACATAAAAGTAAATTTGATGCATAATTCTACAAAAGTGTTTTCGATAGATAAAAGTTTTCAAAAATGAAATGCCAAAAAACTAAAAAAAAAAAAAAAAAATTTCTTAAAATTGCAAATTTGAATACATAGATCTATTAAATGTGAAAAAAGACTCACCAATATCTTTTTCAAGATACAGTGGTAAAATAATGTAGAAAAGGTGAAAGCCTGAGGCAACAGACAGTCGAAAATGCTGAGAAATTCGCTGTGAAGTGACGTAAGTCTGCTCACTGTGCAAGCTCGTTGTCAACTGACGCTCGTGAAGCGTGCTCGCTTTATATACTATGGCGTAATGATCTGTCGGTTGTCTTGACGATATCCGAAAAACAAAGTAGTGTTTAGATTTATTTTCATTTTTGTATATATTCACCTAATGAATTATAGGTAAGACAATAGAATTAATTTTGTCGAAGTTAAAATCGCTATTCTGACCATTAATAGGATAGTGGATTTCATGTTCCTCGGAGTTTCAAAATTATTGAAAAATGACGTGCTTAGGTCTGTTGCCAAAACAAAAAACTGGCAATATGCCAGGAACGTCACCAACTGACGTCAGCATTTGGCAACTAGCCAATGACATAAATACCAAACGTCGTGAATGCAACGTAATGAATCGTATCGACGTCACATTTGAAAGTAACGTTGCGGATAAAATTTTCCTATATTGCTTTCACTGTGATTTGTTGTTAGATTAGATTAGAATTGTTGACATTGTAAAATCACGTCAGAGTAAAAAAAAAAAATAATAATAATAATAAGCCAAGCGAATGCAGAAGAAATCAATCTCACCCCCCCTCCTCTCTCTTTCTGAGTAAAATATAGCTGAGATATATCATAGGTTTTCGAAACAGTCAAATTAAATCATGAAAATGGGGTAATAGTGAAATATAGCCTCCTGAAAACGATAGGCCTATGCTTTCATTGTAATATTCTCTTTTCATTGCAAAACAGAGTTACAGTAGATGGTTTTCAACATTTTCTTTAATACGCAGCTAGTCTCATTTCGTATATTTTCTTTTTTATAACCTTAGTTATTAATGTGAGCTCTTATTAAGGCATGCTCGTGTTCTCCTTCGGTGTAAAGAAATTCATCAGAGAAATGGTCATCCCAAAATTTTTAATTGTGCATAAGTTTTTTTTTTTAAGTTTGCTTGCTTAAAAGCAAATTAATGCAAATTCAGCAATTTTAAATCCTAGTATCTGTTGGACCGTCTTGATTAGTCAGCAACGTAACAATTAATCTACATCATAAATGCGGTTTTTACGTGGAGATGTTGCTAAGCTTCATCCAAGTTTGTTCGTTTTACGTGACTCAGAATAGTTTAGATTTACCACAGATATTTCAAAAAGAGGGAAAAAAACCTTATTCAAATCGGTGAGTGCTACATTTCTATTTCACATGGAGCGTTGAATTAGTATACATTATGAATCGACAAAAGGTTTGTTTCATCGAGAAGATTTTCACTTAAAAACTTCAGAACTGATAAATAATTATTAATTCCACCTATATTTAAAAAAATAAATAAAACCATAACCATCATCAATCCCAACTTTTCAAACGATTTTTATCCTCTGTCAGTTGTCTTCGAATAATGCGGTTCTGGATACCAGAATTGCTGCAATATTTAAAGGAATTTATCATGTTACTAAAACGCCATAATGAGGAATGAAATACGTAAGCATACAATAAAGTGATATTCAAATACGGTACACGTAGTGAGGCGATCATAGTGAATGGTTAGCGGACGGCCTCACGATGCATCCTTCAGGCGAACTGAATCGTGAACGTATAAAAATTATGGATAGATTCTCACTCACAAGAAGACAAGATCCAGAACTTCAAAATCAAAACCTTTTCAATATCAGTTTTTATTTTGTTTATTGTATAAAAAATCCAATAAACTTACAACTACTTTTTATTGTACATTTTATGATAATCACACATATGTCATCACTACTAACGTTGTTATGTACACAAACAAATAATACAGTAGTCCTTTGTTAGAATGTGATCAGTTACAAAGTAAAATGAGAAAATATCACAGTTTTTCTTTTCAAACACTTATAATCTATAAAATATAAAAGATACCAGTAATGTGGATGTTGTCTTTTTGTCAGATACAAGGCAACATTGGTATATAAAAGCCCTTGTCATCCGCCTGGTTCAATTTAAACCTCGGGAAGTGGTTCATCGATATCTTCTTTTAGTCCTAACTCCCTGAGAAAAGCTGACTCTTCCTCCAAAAATGCTGCATATTGCTGTTTCATACGGTAATGAACTTCCTCTTCTGTAAGTTCCACATTTGGTGCAATCTGAAACACAACACATAAGATGAATTACATGAAGCTTCAAAGTTTTCAAAGATTTTCAAAAACCAGTTGTGATATGCAAAGGAAAAACACCAACTGTCACATTAAATCAGCATTCATATTTAACTTTTCTATCAGAATATATTTTTAAACAATGTTTATTCAAAGGAAATGGAGGCAAAGTACTAAAAGCATTAGATCAGAATATATGGTGAGGATAAGTACAGTGCCATATTCTGATGACGGCAATAAGCATTAATCAAACCTTATCTAAATTCTTTATCAGATTTATAAATCATATAAATGCAAATAAGGTTCAGTGTATTTCTGCCGTCTAAATTGGAATATATAAAAGGACATTCAATGGAATTATAGCACTTACTCCTGCTTTTCTCTTATGTTCTGCTTCTATCTCTCTCTTTTCCTGCTCCCTGAAATTCCATCTATCCACCACAAAAGCCCGCCTTTTCACTTCTCGGTCAAAGTAATTGGACACACCAACCGTCTATAGATTAAGGGGGAGATGTATGAGAATATTCGTGAAAAGTTTTTTATAATTAAGTCTACCTTTTGCATTAAAAACTTCATATTTTTGGTATTGATATAAATACATATCAAAAGCAATACATATAAAAAGTAGCAAGATTTAAACCTTTCTTCACTAAATTCAAATTAAATCTTTGAAAGGCAGCAAGAAATACATCATGTTAAAAGTACTGATATAACATCATGATCACCATTGTATTATTAAGAACTTAAGACTGTTGATGTTTTACCTCATTTGGAGTGGCAACACGAAGACTCCAAGGTATTTCTAAGATGTGCAATGTTCCAAGGTTGTCTCCTACTGCCAAAAGGTGCTGCTTGCCTGTAGAATAAGATTTAAACAATGTTAATTAATATAATACTGTGTAGACTAGTCATCCAGTTGTATTTCACATGAAAAAAGTTCTTGGATCTTTTGCTAGACTTATATACAATGTGAGAACTTATTACAATTCAATATTAGCAAAACTTTTCATCACCTAATTAAAAGAAAGAAAAACTTTAAATCTTTTTTCTTTTAACTTTCTAATCATTTTTCTAACTGATTTGAAAGTTTACAGAGATGTATATTGATTTCTTTCATGTACATTCTTAAGATATACAAAAATGAACTCCCTTTCAAACAAGTAGGCAGGTACCTTCAGTGCAAAACTGAAAAACTCCAGGATCAGAATCGGATTTGATACAATTAAAATACACGACAGCTGCTTGAACATATTACAGCAGAATTGTTCATCACTATTTCACATACAGTACTACTGGTTGTTACACATGGCAGACAAAATAAATACTTACTAGAAATCTGGTATGGGTAAATACTTGTTATTGGTGCTGAGGAGATACTCTGGACAAGTGATGGCTCGTGTGTTTTGTCTAAGAGGTCCCAGACCTCAATACTGCCATCCTCTCTGGTCACATAGAATACTCCAGCTCTGGATGGTGACCAGTGGGCAGCTGTCAGGTGTTTGGTGGACGCAGATGAACTCAGAATAGGGCCAGACTGGAGAAAATAATTTGAAGCTCAATGTCAATACAATTGTCTGTACACATATAAAGACATTTAATATTAAAAAGAAAAAAAAATCATACTAATTGCTAATTAATGCTTCATTACAGGTAGAAATAATATTTAGTTTGCATGTTTCATTGGATCTATTTTATATGCAAGTGATGGACATCTGTGCACGATCTGAAATATATCAATACAAATGGGAACTCATAGTACCCACAGACTGTGAACTTAAAAAGTACAATGCCTTAAATGTACACACATAACTAAATGACATTACTGAAACATGAAATTCACATGAACACATTTCAAGCAACTAAAATTTATTCATTTCAAATGAAAGCATATGTAATATAGGGCAAACACATACACCTGGACTAATACTTCCAGTATAAACTAATGATTCCCCCTCTCCCCATGACCCCTCCTGCCCTATGTCTACTTCTTGGCCAACCTTAAATCCTACTGTTAATTGTTAAAATTTGAAATAGAGGATGGCCATTTTAAGCATAACTCAGATTATGAACTCACATTGACTCCCTCTTTCCATATAGACCATGTCCATCCTCCCACACATAACACTATGTCCTTGAAGAAGGCAGATCTCTGGAGTGTGTTCACTGGGCCATCATGGAGGGCGTTGTAAAAATCAGGTTTGGGGGCTGCACAACAAAGCAGTATAATATATAGCATGGTAGTAAAAACATGGCAGCCTTAAAAATCACAGTTATTACTGATTAACGTTTGATGATGCACATAATAATATTCAGAACTCACAAAAAGTTTTCATAAAATGGTCAATTTAATTCAGGGCACTATGTTTACAGATACTCTGATGACATGAAATTTTAAGCACGATAAAGCTGAATGAATTTGTTGTTGATAAGTTTTTTAATATTTCTATGACATTATATCCCACTTACTTAGAATCTTTCCACTGTCTTGGTCCTTCTGAGGCATCCAGTCAACATAGATGATTTCCCCTTCCTAAAATCAAGCAAAAAAAAAAAACATATATAACATCCTCAAAAATATCACTGGCATATTAAAAATAAAAAGAACTTTTTTAATTTAGAATTTAAAAACATTCAGTTTGATGGGCAGTTTTAGAAAATAAAAAAGAAACAATCACATATCCAATTCAATTTTGTTAAGAGTAGGAAAAGTAGTAGTAGTAAATCAAATAACATAGCAATCCAAACTTCTACCAACCTCTCCCCCAACATAGAAGTGTGTCTTGACATCCTGTAGAGTCCTCTTTTCTTTCCCAGACCCTGGCTTGCCAAAACCAAAGCCACCACCACCACCACCGCCACCGCCTGACTTGTCTTCCTTTGACTGGCTTTCTAATTTGGCCACTATCAAAATAGATATTACAGAAAATTATACTTATCAAAGAGCTGGAAAGCCATAAATACTGCAGTTTTCAAGGATAATCTAGAGACATCGTTGAGAAATCAATTTCAAAAAGAATCTTCTGTTTTCTTTTAGACACCTGAACAAAGATTCATTATCAAGTTGTTAAATGGATTTCGTACAATTCCTTTGAATTTATTAATCAACAAATAGACAATCAATTTTATTTTAATGATTAATGCAATCTCCGATTGAAACTATTCAATATACAGGTGTCATAAGAGGCTTATAGTATTTCTACTGAAAGATCAGAGATTTTGGTCCTATACTTACAGACACTTCTGTCCCCCTGTTTCTCCTGTATACTAAATTTGATAGGACTGTGGTCACCACCAGGCTCAGATTTCATTAGTGTCACCTAGAAAAAAATATGGATAAAAAAATGTAACCCACAAAAAATGTTGTCATTTGGGTACAACTATTCCTTAATGTATTGTGTGTAGATAAAAATATTAAAAATTCCTGTAAAGATAGAAAATTAATAGTAATCAGTATAGTGTAGATTAAATTATCAAAAACTGCTATTATATGCACTTTTGTCAAGATTATTAATTAATTTACATACTTTGCCCACCAATCTTATCAGTTATTCCTTAAATTCACGATACAAACTTTCTTTAAGGGCAAAATACTCTGACACACATGCAATTAATTTTAATATACTTCTATGTACAAACCTTTAGATGTGGTTTCCAAGTCAGATCCAAGTATTTGAAAGTGTTTGGCACTCCCATAGGATTCTTGATGCCTTTATCATCTCCACCACTGGGACCTTTAGGAGACCTGGTGTCCCATACTAACACACAGCTGGGAAATAGTATCATAAAACAGTTAAATGGATGTCTCTGAATTTTTGGTTGAATGGCCAGTGTGTGTGTGTGTGTGTGTGTGTGTGTGTGTGTGTGTGTGTGTGTGTGTATGCCTGTATGCATGTTTCAATTTGAATGTGCATACATGCATACCCACACATTAATCTAAATAGACATGAAGACTTCTTACACAGGATATACATGCAATTATGTATTTGATGCAAAGTGGAATGTGCTAATCAATACAGTCTGTTTGTAGGACTCTGCCACGCTATTAATATAATCTACCAAAATGTTTTATTGATGCCCAAAACCAACTGCTTTTTTAAACAATTATTAAAAAATTTTATTATTAACAAAACCAGATTTAAAAAAAAGAATTATTCATGAAAATATAATGCCTCTACTTACTGATCAGTGGCACATGTCATAATTTGTACACATTGCTGCTGTTTGTTTTCCTGGGGGATACCCATTCTGTTCAGCTGGAAACAAGAAGGAACAACTATTTATTTAATATCATATGAAAAATAAAAATATTGTGGATGTACAAGTAAAATGATTTACAATCCACTTAATTTAACAGTAGCATATATTTTGCTGCAATATCTTTACAGAAGAAAGAAAGAAAGAAAGAAAGAAAGAAAGAAAGAACCAAACAAACAAACAAAGTTAACATTCCAAACCCTATGACAATTTCTGGTATTCTATCACTGAAACATAAATGAAGACGATAACAAAAAAAAAAAAATGAGATCATAAAAACTATACAGTGTATCTAATGTTAATCAAGTGTACCTCCATGTGGTCAGGTATCCACAGCAGGTCAGTGATGGCTGCCTTGTGACTGTGGTCAATACTGGACACTGCACAGTATCGAACAATGGGAATGTCAAGGGCGCTCTCATCCTCAAAACCAGGCTGGAAGATGCAGATTTATTAAGACACATTAACATTTGTTTCTACCTTTTTACTATTTTCACTCAGGTTAAATTTTCTAGATTTGTTAATATTCCTAGGGTTAACCTCTTATTCATTTTTTGTGATCATAATTCTTATAATTGCCATGCTTTATAAAAAAAAAACTTACGTAGATATATTGCAAGTTTCTTATTTAACTTTTACTGTGGAAAATGTTAAATCAACTTATTAATAATAAATGGATCATCATGGCACATATAATTTTATTCATATGTGTATGTACATGTAGCATACCAAAGTATTGCTTGTCTTTTTCCTATTACTTCTTGGTGTTCTTAACCTCTCAGCATGTGCCGAGATATCCCACAATACCAGTTGCCCATTAAGACACCCGCCAGCCACTATGTTAGGATCAGTAGGGCAGAACTTGAAGCACTGGATGTCCTCTGGAGCCTCTAGCAATAACTGGAATAGATTGAATTGAATATTATCATCATATGATGGAGCAGGTTTTCTCAACTTCAACACAAAATCCATAACAAACAACGCCATAGCATAAGAAAAGATGTTATACGTGTACTGGTATCTACTTAATTTGTTCTATTAAAAGTGAGGGGTTATTATATTTCTATCAAGAAAATTTATAAAAGGTGACAGCTAGTGGTAATACTATTAAAGAATGCAATCATATCCCACCTCCCCCTTAAATCTATAAAAATATTCAAGTCAGGGCAAATGGGAGCACAAGGATTAGATGCAATGTAAAGAACCATATTAAATCCAGATCGTCTTGTTTGTTTTTACATCATCTTGTTTTTGATTTTTTTACATACATGTACTGTTACTTGTAGTTATGTTCTTTTAGATTAACTCATAAGATTTTATCCAACATAAAGGGTGGCCCACCACAGGCCAAATCTCAGCACAAACTTATGTCTTTGCTACATTTTACTTTTTTGCATCCATTTGGAATTAAATCATCTGAAAATGAGAGGAATAGATAAGACATAAAATGCATTTTTCCTACCTGGGGATGAATGGGATCCAAGAAACTCCAGATTAGTATAAGTGAGGGGTTCATGATAACCTTGGCAGCTTGGTCTATCCTCTGGTCAAAACTCATCTTTTCACTTACTGATACAGCAACAACACCTAAGAACAAAACAAAACAAAGACTGATAATACAAGCCCATTAACTTTCAGTTTTACTCATTTTCTGTATTATGTTTTTAGCTGATGCAAGCTATATGAATCAGCTACCGGTATTTAGAAAATCTTATTTTATTCATCATATAAATCTATAGTTTATTATTGTAAATTACCCTATTCATACCATATGAGACAAGTTTTCTTCATACATGAAATGATTATTGACTTAAAAAAAAAAAGCCCCATGTAATGTGCACGAACTTAACTCTTAACAAGTAAAATTAATTAAACATGCACCAACATTTAAAGTAAAATTTTATCACTGAATCACAACTGTATTTTTTCTATATAAACAAATAATCCAGTGCCAATGAAATTTATTTAAAGCCACGTACCTTTAATAGTTGGATGCCACTCGATACAAGTGATAGTTTTATCTTTACTGAACTGTAAGTCTGTGAAAGATTGGTATTCTTTCAAATGGTTATCAGCCTTGCTGCCAAAGCTTCCATCTTCATCAGCCAGACCCATCCAGTCATCATAAAACACATTCATGATCTCATTTTGTTGCAGTGCTAGATCAAACCTGTAATAGTGCAAAGATTATTAAACTATTTTGTAGTGAAATTATTACTTTTGTCACTGAAGTGAGCGTGGGAGAGGGAGGGGCAGAAAAATTAACATCATTTTGTTCCGTAATGTTTATGTAATCCTGCAATAACAGAATATGTATCAATATGTATATACTTAAAACTTTACTTAATCACTTCAATGAACTTATCATTCTTATTTATTTAAATATTAATATATCTATCTGTAACAACAAAATGTGTGCCAAAATATTTCACATAAAACGTTTTAATGATGTACATACATTCTTCAGTAAAACTACATCAAGAAGGGTGGACAATGAATTTAAAATAGGAAAATACAAAATACAATTAAATGAAAATTAGTGACCAAGCAGAATTTTCAGCTTTGAAATCATACCTTGGTGCAACACTTTCTAAAAACTCTCCCATTCTTTCAGCGTTTTCTGCCTCTTTCTTTTCTTTGTCATCAAACTCTCTTGCCATGTATTGGGTGGTAGAATTTCTTGGGTGCTTCCAATCTGTCTGTGTGCCCGTGTTATCATAATGTGGAATGGCCTGAAAAGAAAAATCTTCATTAAAATTTTGGCAACTGCTCAAAAGATATCTGAAGTCTCATAAAATCCTAACTATGAGTTCAACCTTAAAACATTTTACCTTGCACTACTATAAAGTCAATTTATAGAAGGAAAACAAAAAGATGGGAGTTGCAACATGACAAGTGCTGAAAACTTCCAACCTTACACAAATCATCTATTGAAGTTTCTTGGCAAAATTAAGGTGACTAACTTCATAGGTGCTCTCATGCTTTTGCAATGATCATATGATACTATGTATTTTGCTGGTGATAAATCTACATTGTGATACTTAATCTTAATCAAAAGGCAAACATAGCATATTTAACGGGGAGGGGGTATAATGCATTGCATTCTATAATTACATTAGCCTCTGTCACCTTCAATCTAAAAAGAGGCTCATAAATAAATAAATAAATAAATAAATAAATAAATAAATAAATAAATAAACTAACCTGAACAGACTTGTCAATTTCCATTGCCTTGAGTTCAAATGTCTTGTCTTCATATGGTGTGCATTCCAGGTAACCATCTTTAGCATCGGCCACATTGCGATCTGAGAACTCCACTGGTGTACCAAATTCTCTTCTTACACGCTTGATAGAGATCTTGATCTAGTGGAACATATTTTATAATTCAATCAAAGTATACTAAAACTACAGTGGGTTTTTAATTAATAGACAAATTTGATTACAGCAAAAGATCTTTATTTCCAGCCAAAATGACATTTTCAGGGGTAAAATTTTTTTAAAGTCTATATTCTAAACAGATATATCACCAAAATGACATTTTCAGTGGTAACATTTTCTTAAGCCTATATATTAACCAGATATATCACAGAAAAAGAGAAAATAAATAACATGCTAAAATACTCAAATGCCTCAACCTTGAGATTCCAATATATATACAATCGAGTTCGTACCCGTGGTCTTGTCTCAAAGACATTCTCCTCTTCAATTTCTTTTTCACTGCCCTGTGACACCCAGTCCTTGGGTACTGGTGGAATGTATTTATATTCTACTTCCTCCTCCTCCTCTCCTCCCTCTCCACCCTCTCCAGTACCGCCCTCTCCCTCTGCTTTGGGGGGCTACAACATACAAAATAAACAATATATGAAGAGTACAATTTTATAGTATTAGATATTTATAGAGTATGTAAAAATTCTCAAGTAAAACCCTTGCTTACTTTTTTCCTTCCATTCTCTTCTATTGAAGAAGCAATTATTAATTTTAATATTTAATGTAGCAATTACTAATTTTAATATTAAAAAAAGATATTAATGAATTATGCATATATACATGAGATAATTTTCACACTACAATACTAACTTTAAACAAAATTAAGCAAAAGCTTTTTCCATATTTGTAAATAAAATAAAAAGGATTACTTACATGAAGAATAGAGTTTTTACATTCTTCTGTCAGGGCAATTACAAAATTTTGTCCGTGCTTGAAATCTGCATCATATATAAGCAAAATTTCTTCACCTGGATAATCCTGAAAAATGGACAAAATTTAATTTAATTTTACAAGTAATTTAATGAAAGAGGCTTGCTTACAGGCACTTTGTGATTTATCATTTGCCAGCTTATGAATGGTATTGAAATATTACCTTTAACAGAACTTCAAAGGTCCACTTAAAAAGATTTTGAAAAAGCATAATTACTAATGAAACTTTCAGGGAGATAAAACATCATACAGTGTATGTTTGCTTGTGTGTTGATTTTTTTCTCATTCTAACATCTAAATAGAAAATTAGTGTCAGTCAAATTCTAAAAATTTAAATGATAAAAAATTGTCAAGTTTTTAAAATGTTTTATAACTGCTAACTTTCTGGCCAATTTAAGAAGGAAAACTGTTTTGTTCTTTTTTAATTAACTGTTGTGGAACCCATTAACACATAGAAATTAGAAAATATTTGCAAATGATTTGAAGAAACTAGTTTTTAGTTCTCCTCCATTATGTTGAATTTTATAACCTAGCCATTACATACATGTTTGAATTTTCACTGGCCTCTTTAAATATGTAATATTATAACCAAATACTGATAGAGATATCAATATAAGGTTGTACAAGAACACTGTTACAGTACCAAATAGCTATATAGGGTCAAAAAATTTTCACCCCTCCAAAACACTCATATATTTTTGGAATGGCCCTTATTTAAATTCAAAGCTTCAACATATGCACACAAATATTCTTATAAAGTCAGTTCATTCAAAATGAATTGCCAGTTTTTTCTCAGTTGTTTAATGCAACTGCATCACAATGGACAGGACCAAAATTTCAAATCACCATCAAGTTTGCTCACCAAAATCTGAGGTTTGAAAACACTGAAGTCACAGACAGCTGCCCTATTCCTCAAGTCAGCCAAGATGTCTTCCTTTTTGACCAGCTTATATGGATGGTCCTCCGTGATCTGCTCACCACATGTTACCTCAAACAACTCTTGTGTCTTAGTAGCCAAGAAGATAGGTTGACATCCTTCTGGTAATGCTATAATGAACAAAAAGGGAAAAAACATTAATTTTTTGTTTTGAAAAATCTGGATCAAGAGGACAGTACAAAGTGTATTCTAAGTACTCACCAACTAGCCAATACTGATGCACTTCTGCTCTGACAATTGCTTTGTTACACTTACATGTACTTGCCAATTATAGGCTATAATATATTTCAGGGCAAAAATTGAATAAAATTTATGAAATAATCAAAATGCCTCTGGGTCCATACATGTTTCTTACCAACAGTTCTCAAAGAAAAAAGCTTTTGTACATTATTTCTACATGTACCCAGAACTTGTCAGCATGTTGTATGGTTCTTGGTATGTAATAAAAAGTAGAAACAGTGGATAGTAGAAATGTTGTACTAGTTAATGTAGATGTTCAATATGCAAAGACTTGTTATAAAAAGATAGCTTTCTGTCTGATTTCATTTCTAAAAACAAGAAAGTATTATTTCTTACGTCCATCAGCTAATGGTCCTGGACCTTCAACATGTATAGGTTCTTCTTTCTTTTCTTCTGCTGGTTCTTTGGCTAAAAACAAAGAGACACTTTGTTAAAGACAAATAAATATACATCATGACCAATATATTATGAAGATCATCTTTGAAAAATCTGCTGCTATGTTAAAAAATATGAAACATTTATTTGTGCCTTATACATACCAGTATCTCAACAAAAAGACAATTTAACAGACAACAACCCAGCAGATCCTGACTTCCAAGTGTTAAAAACCAACTTGTTTAATTCTATCTGATATTGAACAAATAAAAAAAAATAAACAAAAAGAAAATAACGCAGGAAAGTGAAATATGACTCAGTAAAATATGTCTCAGACTATTCAAATCTATGAAAAATAACAGAAATACATGCCACTAGTGTTTACTAGTTGTCTATTAAAAATATAAATGTAAATCTCTACTACTGAGTAATTAATTATAAAAAATAATATAATACATGTATGAAAAACTGATTCACTTTGAAAAAAGTTTTCCAATAACAAAATGATAGTCATGATACATATCACAAAGAGAGAAAGGATGTTGATATATCATAGTGATAAAATAAACAAAAAATATGGATTAATGTCATATCTTGATACCTGGTTTGCCTTTCCTTTTTCCACCTAGATTTTGAAAATATTTAAACATGTAGTGTAAACATGATTGCCTAATAATTCAACTTTTGCTTTCATGTGAGGTGTCTATTTTTCCATAATTTTAATTTTTTACATGAATCCAAAACATGTCACTCATGTTCCAATAAGTTTTCTTTTCAGAAATTAACCAGAATACTTGATGTATAACAATTGACTAAAATAAATGACAGAAAGGAGTATTCACATAATCTCACAATATAGCACAATGGATAAAAAATAGCACAATGGATAAAAATGATATCATGATTCTACATATCATGACATCCATGTAGTTATTTAAAGAGGCATGAAATGAAAAACACAAAAGTATAAATAAAGATTAATACTAGTATGTTACACAAAGATACACCATTCTACTCTCTACACATGGTGTGAACCAACTGGCATTTAAACATTATTATAATCATTACTTATGTTTCCAAGATTTCGCACATGCTGCTGAATATGTTTCAGTGCTAAAATATTGATAAATATATGATGCATGATACTAAGTCACTCACCAGGACTCCAAACATTTTAAATACTATTTTTCTGGTATATTTCAATCAACTATGTTTGGGATTATAATGGTAAATCACTTTTGAATTCAGCAAGTACTAGTAATAACCATACATGTATAAAGCATAATTAAATACAAACTTCTTATTTTAAAGAAAAAAACTCACTTTTTGATACAGAAGATTTTGGTTTTCCTTTAGCACTTCCCTTGCCACTTGCAGGAGTTTTGGGAGGGCTTCCTGACTTGGCACTCCCCTGACGGGACTTGGCACTCCCCTGACGGGATTTGGCACTACCGGGTTTAGACCCTCCTTCAGCTGTCTTTGGTGGACTCAGCGTGTCCTTTTGAGAATGAAAAAGTATGGTACAATTTACTAAGGGAATAAAAATAAATAAATAAACGTAATAAATTAAAAGCATGCTAAATATTAAGCCAATACTAAATATTAATCCAATTTTCTCTGTTATGATTTTTATAATATTATTTATTTATAAGAGTTCATTCTTTCTTATCAATATACCTTTTCAGTATTACTATTTATATACATATCGATTGGGCAATCACTTACTTTCATCAGCAAAATGGAAAGCAAAATACTAAGTAACATACCATTTCCTTTTCTTCTTGCTGTTTCTCTTTTTCACTTTCTTCATTGTCAGCCATTATTTCAGGACAATTTTTTATCACTGCTTATATTAAAATAATATCAACTGAACCTATAAAGGGAATGTGAAACAGTTTGATATTGATGTTGATGTGGATATTTAAAGATATTGTCATGCATTATCTCACTGTACAAATACAACTCTACAGTACCTCATTACTACCGTGGAGTAATCACGTCACATTCCTACAAACCCAACAAGTTTCACTGAACATAAATAAAAACGCTATTTCACACTGTATTTCTAAAACGTGTATTTTTATTTTTAACACATAATTTTCAAGTCAAATGTCCAATTTCTTAGTTTATCTTGCAAAATTCCCGAATCCATGAAGACAGCACAAATTCTCAATCGACCCAACTTCTGCATACACATAGGTTGTGTATATGCATAATTCTTCGTGACATGATAATGCTTTCATAAGACTTTCACCAAGTGAAAATTACCTGTTTTGCTTTATTCATCGTAAAAACTACATACCAAATTTTTGTTGATGACTTTATGCCTGGTTTTCCGCCATCTTGGAAATTACGAACGAAAACGAGGCGGTTGCTAGGGTAGTTCAAGGTCATATAGCAGGTGGTGCCCTCATTAGCATCCTGCAGCTCCAGTCCACAAAACGATCAGTATAAATATTTCACTTTTGGCGGCTAGACAAATTATACGGAGAGCGCAAATATACTTTTTTCACATTCCTTAATTATCCAAATAAGGGTGGTGCAGATTTGGAGAGACTAGAGTTATGATGGAAAGGCGTGCTTTCACTTTGCTGTGTCATCCACTCATGCTTTTGCATATAATTCACATTTTAAGTACGAAATAAATCAAAAAGGCAAAAAATGAAAATGCATCCTCAAGTTGTTTTTTCTGCACTAGCGGTAAGGAATGCTATAATAGTCACCTTGACCTTAAAATACACTAGTATTTTTATTGTCTTTATTAGCATGCAAGACTGCACACAAAGAAACGTGAAAACATATCCAGTCTACTGGAGGTGGATTATTAAGACTTGTAACTAAATTTTTACTGATTAAAAAAAAATAGGCCAGGCCATGCACGGCCAGCAGACACATTTTCAAATCGTTTTTAAATGTAGTTGACTTGCATAACTTCCACACTTACCTTTTTCTGAAATTTTGAATTTTGAAGAAAAAGTTTACAAAGGTTCAGAAAATACCAAAGAAGAAGTTTTGTTTGGGGATGAAGCCGTATAAGGAAAATACTTTAAGTCAGACAAATTTTACCAGATTTTAACTCGTCCCCTCCATTACCCCAACTGCCATTAAAAAAAAAAAACATTCTGGCTGAACTTGCTTCCATGTAACATCCAAATAACTTGTCAATAATCAAAGCAATGTACCATAAATAGTGTATAATAAATGAAACTTTATATAATTCATTACAATGAATAAATTGATGCACTCTTTTTGACATAACATAAGATTATACTCTGTGATCTAAAATAAGCAACGAATTTAAAGTCAGAGGACATTAAAAATAAGAACCATAGCACATATCAGATCAGCTTTTCTTTTTATTTAAATATAATCTTATTATATCCCACAGGCCGGACGTATCATTTTGCTCATTCTCCGTCAGCTGTAGAAGCTTCAGACATCTCTCAAATAAATACTTTCAGCAACAGTACAAGCTTTCTTCCTTCTTTACAAAATGTTCACATCATTTGTAAATATAAATATATACTGCTCAGCTTCAACCAGAATACTCAGAATCCTATGTTTTCAATCAAGCCTGATCATAAATTTTAACTCGTGTCCATGGCATTGCTATTTGCATTTAAAGCCCCTTGGTTTGTGGGTGCTTTCAGTTCAACTGGCATCTGATTGGAATCTGTGAGCATGGAGTTGACTGGAGGTGGCACATTTTCTGATTCTTCTCCTGGGTTTTCTGCTTTGCTTGGATTTAATGGATCATCATCGTCCCAATCAATCTTGAACTTTGTGACTCGTGGACATTCTGCTAGGATGTTCCTCTGCATCTGTTAGAACAAGGTGGAGTATAATAATATTGCAAGGTTTTCGAATTAAGCCTACATCTTAAGAGATATTGTCAGATTAATACAAGAAAAACAACAACGTCATTTTTGTACAAATTTATTTGCAACCATTGCTTATGACTCAAGACTCACCTTGGAGAAGTCTGGCTTCTGTGGTGGATTTTCCTTATCTTCTTGGTCAATATAATCATTATTGACATAATAACCAACTCTTATAAATTCTTTTGATTTATAGGAACATGTGAGTAAAACTGCTGTCACTCCAACTGCATCTGCTACTGGGATCAATTCAGTTTTTGGTGGGTCTGCCTACAAAAGATAAAAACACACCACTTACTCACATATTCAAACAAATGTGTTTTAATCTAATGCAAAATAAATACATTAATTGCAGTGGTAAGGGTAAGTTGCAAAGACATTTTTCTTTTGAAATATTACATTAATTTGTTTCCTTGCTTCATTCTTATTTTAAGTCACCCCAGAGAAAAAAAAGCACACATCCACAAACTGGCATTCTTCCCGGGTCAACTTTACTGATAAGAATCTTTGGGTTGTTAATCTTCCTTTAAAGTAATGTCTACTAATAATGAATGAGATAAAAATAAAAGGTCTTCACAGTAATTTTTGTTGCAAAAGAAGGCCACCTTTATTGAGACCGCCTTGTATATTCCCTTTACTGCTAAGTGTTGTACTAGCATTTTGTTGATCAAACATACCAACCTGAAACACAAACTTGTGTTTCCCCATGGGTATAGGACCTACAAGGACAGAATCCAACACTTGGTCAAAATCTTGATTTGCTGCAGAACCAACATACACCACCTTCCATTCCAGATCTGAAAAAATTTATGAAAATATTCAGAGAATCAGATGTTCACACTGCACAGAAATCAATGAACAATTTATTAAATAAAAATATAGTGAACCTATAAATCAAAGTAACTTCCAAGGACTTGACAGTGTGAAATTGGGGGAGGGGTTTGGAAGGGGGAGGGGGGAGTCACAAGTAAATGGTTAACTATTATGAAAAACAACTCTTGATAATATATGAATTTCTGCCACCAAAAGTTTTCAACGTTACATGCTCAGTGTACTATATATTGTATCATTATCACACTTGGTCAAAAAGGATAATCAAATTCTAATGCGATATACATGTAACATTACACCTTTGTACATTGCACAATTCTTCGCAACAACAAAAGTTGTATTATGAAGTTAAAACAGCTACGGTTTTCATGCAATGAGCTCATGGGAGATACATCCAGCTGTCTCCAGCCTCAATCTTACCTTCGTTTAGTTCCTCGAGACACTCGAAAGTGATCTCAAACTGGAATGGGTTCTCAAATGGCGAAGGGTTGTCTAACACTACAACGTTAAGGATGTTAATTTTAGCCATTATTCGAGGTTCGCCAGTTGTTCCTTGAATGTAACTAAATAAAATCTCCTTGTTTCCTTGACTGTTAGACCCGTTTACCCTCCCTAATCATTGAAATTTGGAATAGTACTTTGTCTTATCAATTTTGTCCACAAATGGCGGGAATTTCGCTGAAAATATTTCCTGTGCTGTCATTGGTTAATTCTCCCAAAGATTTGCAAATAATATTCTCATTGGCTCCTCTCAACTTCCGTCAACAAACCTCTAGTACTTCCGGCATCTATCCAAGGCAAATGTCATAATGTCGTTTTCAAAGCTAAACATTCAAGAGGCAAATAGACATCTTCAGGCTCTCCACATGAGAGTTCAAGAACTTGAATCTATGGTGAAAGAGCAGGCTGAGGCACTTATCAGGAAAGATGAGCAAATGCAGGTGAAAATAGCTGAGTTGGTGTCGGCTAAAGAGGCGGAGGTAACACAGTTTCAACAGGCGCTCTATATATCAGAACAGAAAGTACAAAATCTAATGACATTGTCTAGGAACAAAGATGCAAGAATATTTCAATTGAAACAGCGTTGTGAACACTTGGATGAACTTCTGAAAACAAAGCCGGTATTGGAAAATATTCTTGAAATCCTGAAACAGGCAGAACATCAGCACACAAATGGCACACCCCCTCAGTTACAGCAAGAACAGACAATGGCATCCCGAGGGGGCGTTCCATCACCAGGAGGGGGTATCTCTAAATCCAATTCAAAACCGACCATAAATGATGTGATAAACTCTCCTCAGAGTGGCGATCCAAGAAACTTTTCGATTGGGGAAGACAGTGATGCTGCAGGAAGTGGAGATGAAGTCAAGAAAAAGAGTAAAGAGTTGTACCTTTAACCATGGATTAAGTCTAGGAGTGTTGGAAGCTCATTTTGTTAACTTTTTGTATGAACAGCATTACACCAGTTGCCAAGTGTTCCAAGAATTTTGCAACTTTATAAAAATATATTAGAACATTGACTGGCTCTTCTTTGACTGACAAAATGAAATTGAGGTCTAATCTAGTCCAGATGTACTATATATAATAGCATATTTATTTTGTGGTTGGTGTCAGGGGTATTATACGGTATTATACATTCCAGATATATTAAGTATTGCCATACAATGGAAACTGAATATTGGTGGAAACCATGCACTTTTTTCACTTTAATTGGAATTTTTACGTGGTTCAGAGATGGATGTCTTTCAGTTGGGATTTTATGCAAATATAAATGATTCAAGAGTCTTAAAATTGTAAACATTTATTAAAACTTTAAATAAACCATTGTAAAATATAAATAGTCGCATGCTTTTTGTATGATAACTAAAATATGTAAAATCAACAGTCTCTTCTGAAAGCTTGCTGCATATTTCATCAAAATTATACAAATTACTTAGTAGCTTTATAAAATATGAATTTTATGCAGGTGAAAAATAAGACCAGCTTGTGTCAAACAAAGACTTTGGAAACCAGTTTGAATTAACAAGGCATATTTAAATATCAATAATTCAGTTAAATTACTGGTAGTGGCGTCATATATTGACAATCCAAATCCACCTGAAAATCATTCTTGGCAGCTGATGTGGCTTATGTTATATCTTTGAAAAACCAAAGCACTTCCATCACTTTTCTTCTAGTTCTATAAGCCGTAGAATCAGTGGTGTATATACCATTTGCCTAATACAAGATATGTCATCAAAATGACAGCCATGTAACCAGTTTCTGATATCAGAGTAGGTTTTCCCAAACTGCTCAAGACCAAGTTGTCGTTCTAAAAAAGAACTTATCATCTCCATAGTTGCATAAGTTGAATGTAAGTTCAACTTGTAACTAGTGAGCAACAATTGATTCACTTTAGCTTGAACATCGTCACCCTTGCTGGCATCACTGAATTTTGACACTTTTGATTTCCCTTTTTCATTTAAAACATCATTTCCTGTAAACACATCATCATCATCAACTGGTAATTGTGACAATTCGGGATGCTTATTTTTCTGAACTTGAGTCTGTTCTTTGTTTCTATTTGTACACAGCAGCTTCTTGACACTGTATGTTAAACTTGAAAGCCTTCTCATTCTCTCTTGGGATAAGTTTGTAATGTCTTGTAGTTGTCTTGATTTGTGACTTAATTTGAATACTGGCGGATCATTCTCTAACACTGCAATGGAGTCTCCAAATAGTTGGTGTTCTTTCTCTTTTTGCTTTAAAATAGTCTGGACCAAAGTTGTTTGGGAATCTGGAGGCATAGAGAGCTGGAATATGTAACAGTAAAATTATATAAATGACTGTACTCTCTAAACAAAATGCACAATGTGAGATGAAAAATGTTGGCAAAATGCTGGTAGACTTAAATAAATTAATGAAACTGACGAAAATAGGATTATTATGCCATATGGTGTGATACATTAAAAATAGTAGTTAGACTTAGTAATTAATAATGAAAATGGTGATGAACTGTAACTTCAAGGGCATGTATTATTTTAACATAATTGTGCAAAGAGAATTGGACAGGGATAGCGTGCGAGTCAGGTACTTCAATTCTGTACAGCAATTGCAAACATTAAATAGGTGAAACAACTATTTGAGCAATGATGTTGAGGTCCAAACCAGATAACCACATTGTGAGTGGATGTGTGTGAAAAAAAAAACAACCACTTGCAATACATTACCTTGTTCCTTTTTCTTACTGTTGCCCTATCAATACTCATTGTACGCTTGCAGGATACCACTGGTCTATGTTGCCTGGGTGTGCGGAATGAAAAAGTTCTTGTTCGGCCAGCAATTTCCTGGTAAAAAAGGCAATTGGGACACTTGATAACAGGACTCTGTAAGCATCTTTCATTTGTATGCATGGTACATCTAAAACAAATCCAACGACTTTATTTTGCTTCAAATTTTGTAATTTTGTAAGAATACAACATTGGGTTGACATAAAAATGAATTTTTTACTGATATCTAGGAATAATCTACATTAACTAAGGCAATTAGATTTTCTTTTTTATGTTAAAATATGAAGTTGGTGGGCTTCAGTGTCATTTGCTTTAAAACTCTACTAGTTGGATAAAACCTTTGTTGACTTTCCACAAATTAGCTTTGCCAACTTAGACTTTACCATTTGACAACTTACCTGCGCATGTGTGTCATCTCTGTGCATTTTTGGTGGTGTTCGTTCATTGAGGTTTTGTATTGGGACATGGGATGAATCACTGGACAACTGACCCTTTTTGGCTGATGGGCGTCTTGCTTCTTTCGAAGAGTCCTTAACCCAACTTGGTATATCTGGAGTCTTAAAAGCAGTCTTCTCTTTTGCAGACTCTGGGGTGCAAGATGGGGCCTTCTTTTTCACACGTCTTGATACGTCTGGAGTACCAAGGGAAGCCCTTTTGGGTGATTCCGGTAGGAAAGATGAAAATTTCTTTGTCACTCTCTGAGGGATTTCCGGAGTATTAGAGGCATCAGTAGTGTGCAAGCTTGTTTCCCTCTGCCCAGGTTGTGGCTGTGGGGTATCTGTAATGCTACCACTGAGTTTTTTCTCATACACTTCCCTCTGTCTCAACACACAGTTCTCCACATAGGACTTGATGGCAGGAATATACAGAATCTGTTGTGCGGAAGGGCGGCTCTCTGGCTCAAGGCGAAGTAACACAGCAACAAGGTCATCCAACAGTGGGCCAAACTTTCTGTGCAATAAACATTTTATTTTTAATTAAAAAGTGAGATTTATGGAAAATACTTTAAAAATGTAAAATTATATTTCAAGAACCATCTCTGTCCCTCTGGAATTCAGGGTTTAATAATGATGAGCTAAATATAAAATGAATCCATTAAAATAAAATGAAACAAAGACATGTAGTTTGTGCTGAAATTTCAGACATTAACTACTAGGTACTCTTTATTATAAAGGCAACTAACTTTTCAAAACTTTTAAATCCCCATTTCCAAGCCTTACTAACATAAATTTTTCAGGAAAAATTTTTGTGTCAAATGTATTAAGTGATTACTGTCACAGCAATCATTTTTCATATTTATTTAGTCAAATTGAAGCTGAACTGATCAAGGGATTACATAAATGCGATGATGACTTCATTCCATTAACATATGCTCTTGAGCTTGAAAGATGAAAACAAACAGCTTATAATTCAATTTCTAAAAAATAAAGGTTTAATTGCAAAAATTTCATTAAGGCACTTATGCAGGTACAGGGATTACTTCTTGAAAAAAAGAAAAAAGAAAAAACAACAAATTGTTCCGACACTTACCTTGGAATGGGCTTGTATTTTCCTTGCATTATTTTCACCACAAGTGATGTGAAATTAGATCCATCAAAGGCATGGGTCAGACATATCAGCTCATACAAAATACAGCCAAGGGACCACATGTCAGTCTTATAATTGTAAGTACAATGTGTTAAGGCCAATACTGATTTATTGTGATATCTAAGGGCTCATTCCCATTGAAAGTATTGATCTCCATAGATCGATCCAACTCAGCAGGAACTCTCGCTGAAAGCAATCAGTTTAACAGATTAACACGCCTCGATCCTCTTGTATAATCACCAGCTTTTCTGTATTTTACTCAAGGCCAGGAAGCAGCGTGTTAATCTGATAAACTGATTGCATTAAGTGTGGGTCCATGCAGGGATGGATTGATCTATGTAGACCAATAGTTTCAATGGACATGAGCCCAAATTTAACTTAAATTTACTATAAATTATTTATTTATGACTAATGTCACAACATTGACAATTTTAAAATATAAAAAAGGATATGGCTTCTGCTGACAAATCTCAGGACTGAGATAGTATGGAGTTCCTATGGCAGTGTCAGCATGGTCCTGGCTGCCTTCAAGCATCTTTGCAATTCCAAAGTCTCCTACTTTTATCACATTCTCTGAGGTCAGGAAGACATTCTGGGTTTTCAGATCTGTACAAAGAATCAACACAAGTAGACAAAAATGAGTTAAGACCACATGAGCATTCAAATGGATCAGCAGAAATCAAAATTGCCTTATATACAAAATAAGAAATTTTAAAAATGCCTAACTTGCATAAAAATCCAAGTAGGAAAGTTTAAAATATTTTGCTTGAATGTAATTTATACATCACCAACCAAAATAGAAATAGAAATATTTTTAAGGGAAATATTTCATTTATAGCATTAGGATAATGAAGTAAAATAATAACATAAACAGCATGTGAAGTATATACTACCTAATAACTACTTAATAATTTTAAAGTCAGATAGATGTGCATAAAATTTAGCAGTTGAAATTCTGTACCTCTGTGAAGAAATTTCTGCCCATGGATGTATTTCAAAGCAAAGCAAATCTGGACAAACCAATCAAGGATCACCTGGAAAATGTAATTAAAAGAGGAATTTAACTGGATTACACATGTAACATAATCAGTTATACCGGGGATGTTGAAAAGTTAAAAGCAAGTATTTTTGAGCCATCAACATTTTATTGTTGTACATACCTAATTTAGAAATTTACTTAAACAGTTAATTACCTCTGTTGAAAAGTGCTGGCCATTTTGCTGCTGAATCTTCTGACTAAGATCACCTACGATAATGAAAAATGAACCCATGCAAAATAAATAATCATAAAACAATTGTATTTGAATTGATAATAGCTGTTCATTTTGTCCAAAAATGGATTTTCCTGGAGTAAACTAAAATTTTCCCATAGTTACCAATGGTTAATGAATCTGTTCCAACCTTCAAAGTTCGTCCCTGTTTTTTTTTTTTTTTTCCAAAAAGTTTGGATTTTGAAGGGTAGTCATTTATAGCGATCACATGGTCCGATGGCAAGCACAGATTCTAGAATAAATGGGATAACCACAGTTTTGATGGCAAAATACATGTAGAATTTATCGTATTTCTATGGGTACTGTTGTTTACAATGCATTTATTGTGAAATATGGATCACATATAAAGATACATACTTGTTGTGGACAAATTGGACGTCTGGCTAAATGAATGGACTTAGGAAATATCTACCTCAATGAATTTTCTTCAGCTAAATTATCAGTTATCGTACTGGTATTATACAGAGAAGGATTGCAGGGATTTCCACTTACGGGATTCAGGTAACCTAGGATTCGGTCAAATACTGAATGAAATACCTCAACAGTAATTGTACTCTCAGCTTATGTACATGTGCTCAGTTTTACATGTAAAAAAATTACCTCCATCTGCGAACTCCATGACAAGGTTCAACATCATGTTGCTTGTGACAAAGGCATCTTTGTAACGAATGATGTTCCAATGCTTGCACCGGGAAAGGACAGCCACCTCCGTCAAACTTTGCTCTCTTTGCTTCTTAGACAGGCCTCGGACCAGGATTTCTTTCAGTACGTATTTTCTTTTGTTAATTTTCGAAACCACAAGCCATGCACGGCCAAAAGTTCCAGATCCGATCACACTTTCCTTCTCATAATTCTCCGCCATTTTCACTCGGCTAGTCACGTGATTAATCAACCTCGGTGTAAAAGAAAATCTCGTCTGTGTCTTCAGATTCATGTCAGAGCCGAAGTAGAAAGATGCAGATGAGGTATCGAAAGTGAGTAGCACATTTCCTTTTCTTTTTTTCAATCTTTGCATTTTTCAAACGATATTGTTTAAAGGGAAATTGAATTATATTTCCTCAGTCAAATGATATTCTTCTTATTGAAGTATAGCACAAAATATATGAAATATCTGCAGATATTTTCTTTTGGTTTAAAAAACAGTGTGTTGACAAATTACTTATCACAAACGAAAAAATGAATGAATATCAGTATAAACTGGTATATCATAAAATTTGATGTAGTAAAGATTCGTTAATCCACATAAACAAAACTGCTTTCATTTTCAACAAATACGAGTAGCCTATGCTGAATATTAGAATGCCAAAGAAAAAAGCAATTTCTTAAAAAAAGGCAGGAGTCATAATGTGAACTATTGTTTTCAAAGGATTTTCAAAAGTATTACATCTAAGATATACAATGTATCAAGAAGTCATATAAAGCTGGAACGTCGCAGGGCCCGTGCGGCGTAGGTGCAACGGACGACAGAGTGGCTGAGGGTTATTAGTCCCTGAGTATTGCTGCTCTGAAAGATTCAAAAGACAGTAGCCAAACTATTGAGTCCTCAAGGTGGTTACAGTCCAGTCCAGTCCAGCTTTTGGTAGGAAATTAATGAGTGTAAAAGATGGAAACATTCGCTGTTATTTGTTACGTATTTTTCAACCAGGTTATGAGAGGAAAACTCCTTGGCTTTAACTGCGTTTGCTGCTGCGGATTTTGGTCAGGTATTCCTGGTGACACAGAGATGACATAATCATTTTACAAAAGAATATTAGCCTGTTAGCTTTATGCCTGTTACACTATGGAGTTAAGCCTAAGTTCTCTAGCATTATTAAGACACACCCTGGTTTTCTGACAGCATAATCACCCGTTATGAAGCGAGCTGCCTGACTTGGAACTTTACAATTTTATCGATATCTTTTTTGGTGAAAGGGATCCCACTATGGAACTGTACTCAAGTTTAGATCGGATCAGGGATTGAAAGGCTTCTTTCCTGCAAGATGGGGGTGGGGGTGTGGGGGGTGGGTGGGAGTGTTTTGTTTTCCTTTCATTGAAACCCAGTGAGCAGCTGGCTTTCGTATTTCTGATGTGGAGCCCCCATTTCAGATCATCAGAATCTTTATGTCATCACCTTCTCATATCAAGAAAAACTAATAGATATTTTGTCATAAAAAAGGCTTGAGAGCCGGGAGTGCTAGGTTGGCTTAGCGCTCCCATTTTTTTGCAGTCACAAGCGCAGAAACAGGTGGAGGGGTGGTGGTGGTGGTGGTGGTGGTGGGGGGGGGTAGGGTAACACTGCCCCCGCCCTCTTTCGCTTCTTTTGTGATTTTTTTAAAATAGTTAGGCCCTAAGGTAAAATTGCTTTTCGCCCCTGTCCATTGCTATAGCAGTTTACCAAACGGCAGTAGCTAACAAGGTTTTTTTTGCTGATTGCAAGCTCAGCTGAGGGTTACCATAAAAACACTTCACTGCGTCTAAAAGTGTTTCATCAAATGCGATAGAAATTTCGAGGTATTTTAAATGTCAAAATACATGAATCATTATCTGATGTTTTGTTACAGTTATAGGCATGTAAATGCTTGATTGATTATATATCATTTACTATAACTGAAACATGTCGAAGTGGTGTTTACGGCTCAAAGCGTCGTCACACCTACTGCAATGATAGTGCAATTTGGCCCAGTCGCAGAGGATTGATTGTGTTTGAGGAGAATTTGAAAAGTGCTGCTGTATTTGCTTTTTAAGTGTCGGGTGGCCCTCGTTTACAATATTACCAATTTCTTAATCTGTACTTACAGACTACCAGTTAGATATTTTCATTTATGTTTGACTCATTTATTGTATGTACTAGTTGAAAGTTTTTTCTGAGTATGAAGAGGTTAATTAAACTGAAAAAAATTCTTTATTCTGCAGACGCAAGTAGATTTAGACATACGGTTTTTAAATGTGTGTCCAAATAAAAGCGGATTATATCTTACGTCGTTAAATTTGTTTTTCGATAATGAAAGAAAATATTCCTTATCCAGGCATATAATCCAAATTTGTTCATCGTTTCCATAAAAGAAAAACATAGGCTTGACGATTTATGTATCTTCTGTATAAACAGCTGGCTTTATCGGAGAAAGTTTTTTCTTGTCTCGTGAAAAGTTAGCACAAGCAAAATTATAGTAAAGCGTATTTGATTTGTCATTAATTAGATGGCATGTTTGAGAATATTTTCAATGTCTCGAGTTAATTTTGCAAATAAGATTTGAAGTAGACGGGAAAAAGCAATTTGACAAGAAGCACACACTTTTATCTTCAGATATTTTAATGCTGTGTGTAAATACTGCGGATTTAATCAAAATTACTGCAACAAGTGATGTAGAATCATGATATGATGTTGCAGATTAAGTAAATATTTGTCCATGCATTCTTTTTTTAGGGCTATTTACAAAGCTTGATGATAGAGCATCAAAAATCTTGATTCAGGTTAGTAACAACCGATGTTACCACGCGATAGATTCGAAGCAGACATAACAAAACCACACACCTTTTGTACGTTATAAAATGTTCATAGCGTTTCATCGACCATTTTCACACCAGTGGCATAAAATTTGAAGCTTCCAAGGATACATTTTAATAATACGTCCAGTTCACCTTCAGGTCTTCCGAAAAGAAGGGAATTCAGCACGCGGGAAAAAAATGGATGCATTCCAAGAAGGGTGTATCTATACAATAAACATATATGATTAAAGTCCAATTGTCATTGTAAATTACAAAAATATACTCAACATTAAAACGTTAAATATCCCGATTAGATTGGATGTAAAAAGCCACGTAGAAAGTATTTTTAATAACAAAAATATGAAGAGAATGTATATTTTATTAGTGTATACCACCTCCACACTCCACACTTCCAAACATGCACGTTTACGCGCGCGCGCACATACACAATCACCAAATACGGACAGTGCAATGATTTGGTATTAGCCTATATGGAAGAAAAGTAAATATATATATTTAAAGATAACAGATAAATTCAAGCCTAGCATGCTAGTTCCTTCCCAACCCTCTCAACGCTAAATTTTGCTTTAAGCCAAGATTCTATTCTAGAGATTCCACTTTAGAATTGACATGATGCATTTCTTGGTACACTCTTTTCAACATTTTGTTATTGTAAAACAACACGCAAAAGTTTGTGACGTACAATAATAAGAATTTTTTGTGTGATTCTGACACCCAGGTGGCATGCTGAAAACATGAAGAAGAAAAACATGTTTTGCAGAATTATGAAAAACATTTGATGATATTTTTTCTTAAACGATTTGAAGTTGGACATTGGTCACTTGAATTTCTGTCCCGTCAATGAATTTGTTCTTTAAGATTATTTAAAGCGATAGAAACGGTCATAGATATGGCTCAGAATATTCTACATTTTTTATAAGCCTTTGGACAAAGTAATGCAGTTTCGCGCGTTTCCTTGCCTTGTTTCTTCGTTATTGTATACATGCATTAACAAATGTGCATTTGACAGAATCCGAACTACAACGCATATAAGGTAACTGAAAATGCCCATGGCTACATTTTTCAATCCAAAAATGAGTGGTCACACGCACGCACTCAAGAGTACTCTCACGCACTTTTTCTAGGATTTTGCAAACTAGGAGCAAGATTAACATGGGCGCTTATGCTAGCTTGGATGCACCTATGATCCACTAAAAAAAAACGTGTCTACTGTGTCCTAGGCTTTACCATGATATGCTCAAAAAATCTGTATTACTGTTATGTAGGCCAACACGATTGTTAAATATTAATTTCGAACTTAATTAAGGATTTTTAAAAATTCGCAGATATTTCTTTACTTCCCCAGTTTTTGAAAACATCCGATATGGCTGATTTTGAAAAATACACCACATGCTTTCATATACAATCGAATATCTTATGGACAGGGTTCTTGCTTAATATTCCAAGTAGCTTAAAATATCGGAAATACCTTTTTAACTGGACTGATATCTCGAAGATATAAAGTACAGCAGTCTACATTTAACTAATGTAACATAAATTAAACGATGCTTCCACAAAAATACCACATTAGCAATGTATGGCCACCGCCAATCAGCTGACCGTCCATATCTGACCACCTCTCTGTCTGCTTGACCGATCAAATAAAACTTAAGATTAGTGGACGGACCAGACTAAGCATTCAACACGAGCACGTTTGCTTGGTTAGGTAAAACGGTTGCACCAGAGGAACGATAGACTAAGCACTCCGCCCTTTAAACCGTTCAAGGTAGGAGGAAATTGAAAAAGAACAGACCCTGAAAAGTCGGCCATCTTGAGACGTAGGTCGGCTCGATAAGCGTGTTAGAAAAACGAGTCTTGAACATGCAAGCCGCAGTGTGATGAAAGCTGTATTAAAAGTCTTTTTGTCGCCAACGGATGACTTGATAAATGGTGTCAGATGTATTTTAGTGGAAGAAAAGATGGAGAGTTAAGAATATAATACATGTACCTTCAAAAACGGTGATCCATTTAAAAATTAAATGTTTACGTCTGTTAGTTAGGCTTTTTAACAACAACAACAACAACAAAAAAAAAAAAATGAATAAAATATTCTGAGCACTTCTTTTGCAAAATATTTTTATGAAATTTTAAAACATATTTCGATTTCGATTTACCGTAGACTTTGTTGTGTTTATCTATTCCAAAACGTTGTGTTGGATAGACTCGATTACAAGTTTTCAAATAGTTTTTAAGATAGGCATAAGATAACGTTATAATTTCCCATTTATCTTAAAAAATGTGCCACCCCTCCTTGGTCATTGCTCTTTAGCCTTCTAAATTTATGTATGTCAGGGTGTTCAGAGAAAAGCTTAGGTAGAGCAAGGCAGTACCTACATGTTCGAAATGCTTAGACAATATAATGATATTTGCACTGACAATGC